ATGTAGAAAACTATCCTACTGACATTTTTTTTACTACATTTTTGGATTCAGAGCAGTATTTACATAAGGAGCATAGGTCAAACATTGAAGTTTATTTATTTAACTTATATCTGTAAACTAATTTTTTTACTATTTTTATCATTATTTTTAGAGATAATTAGTTAAATTGAACTATTTGAGAAATTCGAAATATTTTTGAAGATAATTCGATAAATTGAACTATATCTTCAACTATTTTAGAAATCATCCACCTTTGCCCTTGATAAATAAAATATTTTTTAGACCAAATTGATTCTTGCCACAATTTGTTAGAAGTATTTGAATATATTCTGTGCAAATTTCATGATGTGTGTCTGCATATTCTCAAAGATTTTAAATTATAAAAAGATAAATTGGACTGTTTAAGAAATCACCGACCTTTGCCACTGCTCAATAAAATATGTTTTTAATCAAAAGGTTCCTCAATCGCCACAAGTTGTTTCTCAAATATTTTGGAACATTCTGTGCAAATTTTAACCTATTTGATGGAGGTATTCTGATGTATGTCTGAATATGTTTAGAGATAATAAGATCAAATGAAATATTTTAAAAATGACCATTTTGAAAATCATTCGCCAACTTGGATCCACCATTGTGAAAATAAACCAACATCCAAAAATTGTAATGGCAGGACTTCCCTGAACTTCAGTAGGACTATATCTATGATGGCAATCGGTCAACGTTAAATTGCACAGTGGGCCAGGAACTAAATCTAGCAGAAAAAAAAAATAATAACGTTTTGCTGGTCCAATTGAAATAACGTCTTGAGTGAAGTTTCTTGACACAAAAAGGACTAAATTGTTTTAGATAAAAATAGTTCGAATTTTGATTAAAAAGATTGCGAAACGATACAAATTTTTAAATTCCACAAGATAGAGGTTTGCTGAATTGGGCAAAGTTGTACACACTAAGATTTTGTTTTCGTGTTCGGTAAATTTTACCGAAATCAGAACAGCTGAACGTTCGGTAAAACTTTGACCTTCATTTTAAAGGCTATTGAATTTGAAATTAATTTCAAAACATGTTCAATCTTGTATAAATGATCAAATCTTGTCATTTAAGTGGACATTTAGTTTCAAAGTAGCTGAAAAGCAATTGAATGGAATTGCGTACATTTTACCGAACAGTTCAGCTGTTCAGATTTCGGTAAAAATTACCGAAATCGGCGATAATTTCTAAGTGTGTAGAACGTAGAATCTTATGGAAAATTCCACAAGACATGAAAGCTGTACATCTTCAAATAAATGAGATACACGAAGTTTTACAAAATTTGTCTGAGATTTCCGTTTAAGTATTATATTTTGAACACTCATTCAAAAGAATACTTTTAATCATTTTTCCTCGATCGGTACTGATCAATTCAATCTTTTCCAGATTAATGCTTTTATTTTTAGAGTACGCAAAAAAATGTATCATGAAATTTGAAAAAAAAATCATGATTTTCTGAATAGGTTTTAATAAAGATGCGCAACCGAACGCAAAATTTCATCAATGCTTCAAAATTTAAACCAAATAGACATTAATCCCTCACAATATCTCAGATGAATACTGAGATCTAATTGAGACTTGATTTGAAAATGTAATAACAATTTCAATTTGATTCTTCTTTGCGAAAATTAAAAATGGCCAAACATGAAACAATCACTCACGTCTAAACAACAAATTCGTGAACAGTGACGGGAATGTTCATTAGGCGAATATCGTAAAATATCGCGAACTTTTTCAATACTGCTTCCAAACATTTAAAAGAAATCATCAAAACTTAAACTCTTTTACGTTGAAAATCAATTGGTGGCCCTGAAAAGGGCCGATTTGTAGTTTCGATGGTACGTATTTATTTGGAGCTGGTGTACTTGGTGACGGCCTTGGTTCCTTCGGAGACAGCGTGCTTGGCCAACTCACCCGGCAGCAGCAGACGGACAGCGGTTTGGATTTCGCGAGAGGTGATCGTCGAGCGTTTGTTGTAGTGAGCCAGACGGGACGACTCAGCAGCGATACGTTCGAAGATGTCATTGACGAAGCTGTTCATGATGCTCATGGCCTTCGACGAGACTCCGGTATCTGGGTGGACCTGCTTCAACACTTTGTAGATGTAGATGGCATAGCTTTCCTTCCTGCGTGGCTTCCTCTTCTTCTTGTCTCCCTTGACGATGGCCTTCTGAGCCTTGCCGGACTTCTTGGCGGCCTTTCCACTGGTTTTTGGTGCCATAGTAAAGCTGTCAACTTGGGTACAGAATAACTAATAATTTTGGTAAGACGATGGTGTTTCTTTTTATACCCGTAGAATGGCAACTGACACTCGTCCCCTTTTATGTATTTTAATCAAAACCCGTTTTATGCTACCCTTCTTGTATGTATAATATGCTGCTCGACGCAGGTATAAAAGCAACTTCGACGAGCTAAAACGGCATCAGTACAGTTTGAGCATAAAGCTGCTCGTTTTATTTTCACATCGTAATCTACCCTACTACATCGAAACATGTCTGGCCGAGGCAAAGGTGGAAAAGTTAAGGGAAAGGCAAAGTCCCGCTCGAGCCGCGCTGGATTGCAGTTCCCAGTTGGTCGTATTCACCGTCTTCTGAGGAAGGGCAACTACGCCGAGCGCGTTGGTGCCGGTGCTCCTGTCTACCTGGCTGCCGTGATGGAATATCTGGCCGCTGAAGTTCTCGAGTTGGCAGGAAACGCCGCCCGTGACAACAAGAAGACCAGAATCATCCCACGTCACCTGCAGTTGGCCATCCGCAACGACGAGGAGTTGAACAAACTGCTGTCCGGGGTGACCATCGCCCAGGGTGGTGTCCTGCCAAACATCCAGGCCGTCCTGTTGCCCAAGAAGACCGAAAAGAAGGCTTAAATTTGATCGGAGACCACGCCCAACATGTACAAAACCGTCCTTTTCAGGGCGACCAATTTGATTTCACCAACGAAAGAGTTTTATTTATTGGATTTGTTTTAGTTCAAATGAAGGCATATTTTCATATTTCAATCTTTCATTCCTATGAGGCACCCCTCTTTACAGTAAAATGAGAGTTGAAAAATGTATTCTTAATGTGATTTCTTGTAAAGTTCACAAATGACCGCGTAGGATATAAATGCGCTTCCACGTCGAATTTTAATTACTCAAATATCGGAAATGAGAGCTCTCTTTAACCTGAAATTGTTACTGTATGTATGCTGCAGCGCAGCAAACGTGGAGTTACAGTTTAATTGTAGTACGAATCGTGGAAGCTGATATGTGGGCACTTAAAGTTTTGAAGTGGTAGAGAGAATAAGGATCTCACATCGAATCACCTTAATCGACCAATGCATATAAGTACCACCCTATTTGTGACTGCTCTGTCCCCCAAGGGTTAAAGTAGGCTAATCAACAAACAGAAAAGAACATAATTTTATTAGTTTTAATTAGGCTGCTCTGCACAATTATTATTGGACCTTCGAAGTGAATTGATGCAGTGGAAAGAATTTAAATGGTAGAGATTGAAGTGCAAGTGAAGTGATAACTAGTGGTGTGTGTTATGTTAGATTTGAAGAGTGGTGTGACATTTATTACGGTTGAGGCAGTAGTAACCCTGGAAGTGAAATAACTACTTGACATCGGTTAGCTGGATCTCGATTAGTATACATTATTCTCCGCTTTGAAAGTGAACTGTTCGTCTGCAATAAATTGAGTGATTTTTTGACTTGTATCATCAAAAGAGGTTTTCCTCGGATCGCTAGAGAAACTATGTATTATCTATCATTGCCTACCCTACCAGGTTTCCCCGCCGTATTTATGAATGGGGTGGGGCTTACAATTCGAATCTAAATGTATTGTTTGCGCCGCTAAGCATAAATTCAAATTCAGATTCGAGAAACTCTTCTGTCGGCAACATAATCGAGCAGCTACGAACAGGCGAACAAACAGTATGAAACAGTACATAAAGGCCATTTTTCTTGTTCTTCGGCCAAAGGACGGCTCTTCTGCCGAACATCTTCAAGGTGGTTTGTTTAAAGGGACGTTAATATATGGAATCACAGCTCTTCTGCCAAAATATAGCAGACTTGGGAGACTATACAACTCCAGTATGTCTCGATATAAATCAGCCATTAGCCTTAAGTTACCCGTGCTGTAATCGTCCTAATAATAAGTAAACGCACCTTAAAACTGACCAAAGAAACATGTGCTGTATCCCGTATTCCGTCGAATACAACCTTATTTAACAGTGTAATTAGCGTAAATCTCAATTATGGATATTCGAAAAATCTCACACTAGCAAACCAATCTACTAAAAATCTTCTTTCATTTCTCGCATCTACTTGCATCGTGCAGCATCTTTTTGCAGGAAATCTTCAGAATCGTCATAAATCTTCTTTCTACCTACTCAGCGTGCGCGCAGCTAACCACGTTAAAACAAAATCGTTTCCGCATCATAGATAGAGTCGTCCCCCTCGGTAATTAGTCCATTTTTCAATTACTGTGCTCGGTCAAAGAAACAGTTGAAGACACTGGTTTATTCGTATCCGTGTTCCGAACTTTAATCGTCCTCACCTGACCAGATTCACGGCGCCGGTCCAAAAGACGCTTGAATGTGCTTCAGGACTAGGATTGATTTTATGCATCAACGCACAAAACACATGGAATCTTAAAAACAAGCTATTCATTCAATCTTGGTTTTCTCAATCGGTAGATAAAAGATGCACGGAGAGTTGATTGGAGGGACTTCCCGCTAAAATTTTCTGATCGACCCCATTTGTTTATGTTTTTTCTAGCGTCTTGAAGAAAACCCTCCATTAAAATCTGTTTTCGGGTTAATTAAACTGAATGTTATTACTTCCACCAAATAAAACTGAACGTACGAAAGCATCAATTTAAGGGACAACAATTTAAATTGCATTAGGAATTTTCCATCTAAACTCTTTTGTGGATTGCGAGTAGTGGCCCTGAAAAGGGCCGGTTTTAAAACGGTGCGTTGGAGTAATTTAAGCGCGTTCACCACGGATGCGACGAGCCAGCTGGATGTCCTTTGGCATGATCGTGACACGCTTGGCGTGGATGGCGCACAGGTTGGTATCTTCGAACAGACCGACCAGATAGGCCTCACTGGCTTCCTGCAGGGCCATGACGGCCGAGCTCTGGAAGCGCAAGTCGGTCTTGAAGTCCTGAGCGATTTCACGGACCAGACGCTGGAAAGGCAACTTGCGGATCAGCAGTTCGGTCGATTTCTGGTAACGACGGATCTCACGCAGAGCGACGGTTCCTGGCCGGTAGCGATGAGGCTTCTTCACTCCTCCGGTGGCCGGAGCGCTCTTGCGAGCGGCTTTGGTGGCCAGCTGTTTGCGAGGAGCCTTTCCTCCGGTGGACTTACGTGCGGTCTGCTTGGTACGAGCCATTATGTTTAGTTACGATGCGCATACGATGAATCGAAGATGTTGAATAAAAATTTTGACCGTCTTCCCCTCGATTTTATACCATAATTTTGCTATATTCAACCAATCACAAATGATGTAAGAACAAGAGTACAACAATTAACAAGAAGAATCTAACCCTCGAATGGGTATAAAAGAGCCATTCATGGTCAAAAATAAGCATAGATTCTCTACTTGTTCGTCAAGCAGTACAGTCCGGTATTTGCTCGCTCTGTCGAGTTGTTCGATAGTTATTCCAAACGTTTATTCGCGTCGTCAGTAGTGTCGGTCGCATCGTGTGATGGGAAGACAGCGCTCCCGGAGCAGGCTCCGTGAGAAAGCGGAAAAGAACAGTGGCGAGTGTAGCACGAGTGTACCTATTTCAAATAGGTACGCTACTCTTCCCACCGATGTTGGAAATACCACCTCCGCCACGGTGAAGCGATCCAAGAAGAGGAAGAAAAACCAAGGCCAGTCCGATGGTGCGAGTGGACGTGATGACGTCACAGCAACGAACGCCAGCGACATCGGTGATTTCGGCGACACCATCGACAACGAAAATTCTGCCGGCCCGAGTGCGGCAAAAGTGAAGCTACCTCCATTGGTGGTAAAAAATGCTCATCTTAATGAGCTCATCGCGGATCTAGCGACGCTGGGCGTTAAAGCCGAATACAAGTTGGGCAGAGTCGGCACCAAGGTGGTGCTCCGTACCAAAGCGGAGTATGACTTGGTCGTCGCCCACCTGAGGACTTCCAAGGTGGAATTCTTCACCCACGACATTCCCGGTGAGAAACCATTCAAGGTCGTCATCAGGGGCCTACCAAACTTCGACCCGAAGTTTATCGAAGCTGAAATCAGGGACCGGTACAAGCTGGCCCCAAGTGCCGTCTATCGGATGACAAGAAGAGACGAGAATGTGAAGGCGTATCCGGATTGCCTTTTCCTGGTACACTTCCAGAAGGGAACGGTGACGCTCAACGCGCTGAAAGCCATCCGCTCCATTAATTGCATCATCGTCCGCTGGGAGCCATACCGTGGCGGCCATCGCGATGTGACTCAGTGCCAACGGTGTCTGAACTTTGGACACGGCACCCGCAACTGTAACATTAAGCCACGCTGCGGCAATTGCGCTCAAGACCACGCCACTTCCGACTGCCCTGCGGATGAAGCCATGGCGTTAAAATGCGCCAACTGTGGTGGTGCTCACCAAGGTTCCGACAGACAGTGCTCCAAACGCGAGGACTTCAAACGCATCCGAAAACAGGCGGCAGTTAACAACCAACCAGGACGCAAGAAGGACAAAGTCCCGGCATTTCGGACGGAGGATTTCCCGCCTCTTCGTGCTCCTCAGCAAAGGCAAGCAAATTCGCGGGTGCATTCCGCTCAAGCAACTTCTGGTGATTCTGCTGGCCAAAGCTCTCCATCCCCCCCTGGATTCTGGAGACAACCACCAGCGCAAAACAACAACCCCGATCTGTTTTCAGCGGATGAACTGGTGGAAATTTTCGTCAACATGACCGGTGCTCTACGTAAGTGCCGCAATAAGCCCGAACAGATCCAAGTGCTCGGTAAGTTCATCATCCAGTATGGCGTCTAAACCGCTAACCATCGCTACTTGGAACGCTTGCTCTGTAAGAGCAAAACAGATTGAGCTTGCCGACTTCCTCCGCAAGCATAGCATCGACGTGGTTCTTCTAACCGAGACCCACCTAAAGTCCGGTGACAGCTTCTGGTTGCCTGACCACAATATTATCCGGCTTGATCGCACCAGCTCCAGGGGGGGTGGTGTAGCGGTCATCGTCAGAAAGGGAATCAAGTTTTGCACTCAGCCCCACATCCGCACTTCTATCATCGAGGCCATTAGTGTGGAGGTGGAATCACCAACTGGAAACATCCGGTTCATCGCTGTTTACTGCCCACGCCAGTGTACCGCAAGCAACGGATTAGGAATCCAATTCAAGAAGGACCTGACCGCCATCACCCGTACTAGCTCCCGATTCATCGTTGGGGGCGACCTGAACGCCCGCCATGAAGCTTGGAGGAACTATCAGAGGAACCGGAACGGATGTCTATTGTTCGACCACGCACAACATGGTCTGTACACTGTGCAATTTCCGGACGAACCAACTTTCATCTCTCCGGCGGGAAATCCCTCCACGCTGGACTTTTTCCTGTCAAACATCGGACTATCCAAGCCGGAGGCGCACAACGATCTCAGCTCCGACCACCAACCGGTGGTGACTGAAGTCGGTGTCAATGTGGTTCCTGCTAGAAGCTGCCTGCGTAAAGACTACCACCATGTCAACTGGGTGCAGTACGGACGAATGGTGGACAGCAACATCGATGAAAATCCACTACTCAACACCGTAGATGACATCGACCGGACGTTGGAAGGGCTCCAACAGGCCATATCCATGGCTGACGAGGCATACGTTCGACAAGTTCCTGTGAGGGGTAAGTTTGTTGCTATTGATTCCCACACCCAATTACTGATTCGGTTGAGAAATGTTCGTAGACGCCAGTTTCAGAGGACTGGAGATCTGGGCAAAAAACTTGAAATGGCCGATCTGAATAGGCAGATTGCTTCCAGAATGGACTCACTCCGAAATGAAAGTTTCGGGCGTGTTGTCCAGAATCTGGATGACCGCTCCAGACCATTCTGGAAGGTAGCCAAGGTCCTGAAAAATCATCCCAAACCCGTTCCACCTCTCAAAGTCGAAAATGATGACGATCGGCTTTTAATTACCCCACAGGAGAAAGCAAATGCGATCGGCAAGCATGTCGCTTCATCGCATTTGCTTGGCTCGACTATCCAAAGTCCGCTCGATGATCAGGTTGCGCAATGCGTTCAAAACCTAGATACCTCCCCTTGTGTCGTGCCTCCGGCGGATATGATTACAGTACAACAAATTTGCTCAGCGCTGAAATGCACCAAGAACATGAAGGCTCCCGGGTTTGACGGTATATTCAACTTGATCTTGAAGAGACTCAGCATGAAAGTGCAGTCTCTTCTAACCGCTATCTTCAACAGATGTTTGGAACTGCACTACTTTCCAAGCATCTGGAAAGTAGCAAAAATCATACCGATCCGCAAACCCGGTAAGGATCCAACATTGTCTTCAAGCTACAGACCCATCAGCCTCCTTTCAGCGCTGAGCAAATTGTTCGAGAAACTCATTCTCAATCGTTTGCTCAAGTTTGTCAAGGAAAGCAACATTCTCCTTACGGAACAGTTTGGATTCAGAAAGGGGCACTCCACCAATCATCAGCTAGTACGGGTGATGAATAACATCCGAAGTAACAAAGCTGTATCCAAGTCCACAGCCATGGCCTTGTTAGACGTTGAAAAGGCGTTTGACAATGTTTGGCATGATGGACTTGTCTACAAGCTTTGTAACTTCAACTTTCCTTTACATCTTATTAAAATCACCCGTAACTACCTCCAGCAAAGGTCGTTTAAGGTATCGTTGAATGGTTGTCTCTCAGACACGTTTTCGATCCCAGCAGGAGTCCCGCAAGGTATTCTGCTGGGCCCCTTGCTTTACAGCATTTACACTTCCGACATTCCTCCCCTCGGTGACGGTTGCGTGTTTTTCCTGTTCGCAGATGATACCGCAATAGCCGTCAAAGGAAGGATGCCTCGCGAAATAACGAACAAACTTCAACGATGCCTTAACGCCTTTGCTGATTATGCCACCACGTGGAAAATCAAAATCAATGCCACCAAAACACAAGCGATCATGTTCCTCCATCGGCAATCGCCCAAACTGAAACCGGCTCCATCTTGTACTGTAATCATGGATGGCACAAGGGTTGAGTGGTCTACCGAAGTTACCTATCTCGGGATGTTGTTCGATGAAAAGCTCCTCTTCCGTTCGCATGTAGAGAAAACTGTAGTCAAGTGTTCTACCTTGGTTAGGTGTCTGTTTCCGCTGATTTGCCGCAGATCCCGCCTCTCAAGGGTGAACAAACTGGCCGTCTACAAACAAATCATAGCACCTGCGATCCTCTACGCAGCTCCGGTGTGGGAATCATGTGCACAGACTCACAGGAACAAAATCCAGGTCGCTCAGAATAGAGTGCTGAGGATGGTTCTTGATCGTCCTTTCGACACTAGAATAACAAATTTACATGAAGAGGCAGGCATTGCCAAAATAGATTCCAAAATTAACGAAATTAAGACTAAATTTGCACAAAAATGTAATTTATCAGAACATGCTTTGATAAGCAATTTGTATATAGTAGGTTAGGTGTACATAGTAGTTGTAGGTTAGTTGTAGTTGTAAATAGTAGTTATAAGTAGTCTCCTTTTTCAAATTTTCAAACAAACCAATCCCACCAAGGTGGTCATTCTCTAAAACAGGCCTGATAGGACTAGGAACTGTAATTAATAATAATTGAAATTTCACAGGAACTAAAGTTGAAAAGACGCATCTGTGTCACTTGATAAGTTATACATGTAAACCACACAAATTCAAGAAATATAGATCATTTAAGTCAGTAAGTCAAGTCAAAAATAAGCATCAATTTCGTTTCAATAGTACCCGAAGACAGTTTCAATCAGCATCAACAATGACCGGACGTGGAAAAGGAGGCAAAGGACTCGGTAAAGGAGGAGCTAAGCGTCATCGTAAGGTGTTGCGTGATAACATCCAGGGTATTACCAAGCCCGCCATCCGTCGTCTGGCTCGTCGTGGTGGTGTCAAGCGTATTTCCGGGTTGATCTACGAGGAAACCCGAGGCGTACTGAAGGTGTTCCTCGAAAACGTGATTCGTGACGCCGTCACCTACACCGAACACGCCAAGCGTAAGACCGTCACGGCCATGGATGTTGTCTACGCTCTGAAGCGACAGGGACGCACTCTGTACGGTTTCGGAGGTTAAATTAGCATTATCAACTCTAGCATCAAAACGGCCCTTTTCAGGGCCACAACATGAATCAGAAAAGGGTTTTTGATGGCAACTTCTTGCAGCATCTTTATGAT